TGATTAATAGGTGGAGGCAATCTAACCAAGTCAGTATCAAATAATTCAATAAATTGTTCATTTAAAACTCTAACTTTAGGACCAGCATAACGACGATACTCTTCGAAAATTGAAGTCAAATTCCATCTTTGTAATTTACGTAAACATCCTACAATAGTACCAGTTCTATGTCTACCTAAATTACACATAATAATCATTGGATAATTATGAGAATTAAGAATCAATTCCAAAGCTTCTAATACCACTTCTTCAGTAATGGGATCCCATGCATTTGTTGTTGATGAAATTACACCCAAGTGATAAAAGTGAATTTCTTGGTCATCAATAAAATTTATACTAGATTAACGAAGGAAAAAAAATTATTATTAGAAATAAGAACTGTTTTTTTGATTATTTTTTCGAATGAAAAAAATATTTACAATCGTTGATTTGGTTCTTCAGGAGCTAACCAAACAACAGTTTTCAAACCAAGTTTCTCTAAAAATGGAAAATTCAATTCATTTGGCTGTCCTGATCTATATAAATCTTCTTCAATCATACCATAATTCTAAATTCAAAAAAATGTTTATAACAATTAATTAAAATATTAATACAGTCGATTGACATTGCGAATAAGTGTTATGATTATATCACATACTAACGGAGGAATGAAATGTTGTGAACTCATTGTGTGATTAGGTTGATTAGGATATATAATTTTATTTTCAAATTTGAAAAAAAAAATTTTAATTTTTCATTTATTTATTTTTTGATTATCTATTGGATGATAGTCATGTGAAGTCACAGTCAGATGGTGGTTTTTTTAATATTAATATGAACTTGACTTGTAAAATCATGCAGTGTAGAACATGGAAGCATGATGTATTTATCTCTAGGTCTTGAGCCTGGGATATGACATAGGGTCATTAAAGAAGTTCTGACTATATTATTTATATGTAATCATCTCAAAACTTTTAGTTATTTAATTTATTAAAGAAATATAATTTTTTATTGATTAATTTTCAACTTGTTGTGATTGAGAATCGATTAATTTCTATTTTCCATATTTTAAGAAAATGTGAGTGTGTTTCGAAAAGAATAATAAAACAGAAGGATTGATTAATAATGCTAATAATGCTAATTAATTCATTAATAAATATTCCAACAAAATTTGTTTTTAAAAAAAAACCAAAACATACAAAATCTCCTTGTTTACCCTGGTCCCATTTTGCAAATTTAATATTTTGTTCATCTCTTCTTTGTGCAAGCACTTTATGTTCATCTTTTAAAGCATTACGTACAGCTCTTGCACATACTTGTGAATACTTTAGATAACTGGTTTTTATAAAAAAAATTTATTTCCACATTAGTTCTTTCTTGTTTTAAACTTGTAGAGAAAGACATTAATGTTCATGACAATTAGTTAAATATTAACCTGATGCCAGCGGCTTTCCAAGCAAATGTCATTTTATTTTTTTAATTGTTATTTTTTAATTGAAAAAAAATTTTTTTTTTTTTTGCAAAAATTAATTTTTTCATTGACGAATCAAAATTTATTTGAAAATCATGTGTTGTATGTGTCA